AGGTGGAAAAAGGCCCCACGCTTGAGGAGGGACCCAAAAATTGGAACAAAATATACACACTTGTGCACGTAAATATTGACTTCAAATGTGTGACCGAAAGGCCCCAGCCCATCAACTGGGATCTCTAGAACCGATAACTTCCTGTACGCATGCAGGGGACTCTGGGATCTGACAGGTAGCCAGGGGCCAGGAATCAACGGGCCTCTGAAGTTCAATAAGAACGGAAACACCTAAGGAGTCCTTAGCCCGGCCCAAGTGCTTTGCTCACCACCAAATGCACCAAATCCACCCAAAGCCCTTACCAGGTACGTAGAGAAAACGGACATAGTACGTACAGCGAGGTACATGTACATGCATGGAGCGACTCATTTTCTCGAGAGTCTGGTGAATCATGCCATCGCCAGACCATGTCTCTCAGGCATGTGACAAACTAGGACAAGCATGGGTACTGGGATTGGCTGCCACCAGCATCAAGTGATGATGAAACGTCATCAACATCAAGCACAGCCCTTGGTCCCGGAATTGGTTGCCGCTAGCCGGTTTTTGGGCGACTCCGGCGGTTTTTTGGCGACTGGGTGACCAGGGATCGGCGGCTAGCCGCTTGGCGACTAGGTAACTGGCCGGCTGGCGACCAGGTGACTAGCCGACTGGCGACTAGGTGACTAGCCGACTGGCGACCAGGTGACTAGCCGACTGGCTAATTGTGTGACCATGGTGACTAATGACTGATGCAGATTCCCAAAATTGGTCTCACGTCTGAGTGTGAAGTGGAACATGCATTATTCGCCTTTACCAGTGTCATTCAACCAATTTACCCCATCTTAAGTTCTCAAAACAAAGCAAATTTTTCAAGTTCTGTGCACATTTCATGACTGACTACCAGACAGTACATTGGCGAGGGCATTGGTTGGGGAGGATCTCACTGCGCTGTCAAAAGTAAGTAGGTTCTGAAAAATAGCCATCAGAAGGCATAACAATTATAACTCCATCCTGAAGTAGCAAACAGTTCCTTTATGCTGGTCCTTTCGGCTGTTTTTATTTGCATTTCAGGCTTTTCCGTTATATCTTATAATCATCTCATAGGACAAAGGATCGCGTAAACGAGCTTTGACCACACCTTACAGTTGCGCTCGATTGCAAATGGGTGGCTAAGGCCTATGTGATACACTGACCGTCTGCAAACGGTGCAAGGGTGTTGAAATGACTAACGGACTGAAGATGTAGGCATCCCCAATGATTAACGGTCTGAAGATGTAGGCATCTCAAATCTACGCCTCGAATGGTGCGCGTGCCTTTTTACCAAAAGCTCTAACCTCCAGGGCCCGGCTGGCTGGCTTGGCTGCCGACTGCTGCCGCCAGCCGGCCGATCCGCCGCTATGGCTGGTTTGGCTGCCGACTGCTGCCGCCAGCCGGCCGATCCGCCGCTATGGCTGGTTTGGCTGCCGACTGCTGCCGCCAGCCGGCCGATCCGCCGCTATGGCTGGTTTGGCTGCCGACTGCTGCCGCCAGCCGGCATGTTCGCAGCTATGGCTGGTTTGGCTGCCGACTGCTGCCGCCAGCCGGCCGATCCGCCGCCGATCGTCTCACCAGCCACGCTGGTCCGGAGCGGCGGCCGCTGGTATGTGCAGCGAAATCGCTGGGCGAAAACCGTTTCGGAGATGGCTAACCGCATGATAAATAGGTTAAAGCGAAAACGATCACTTTTACAGGTACTGTACATCGTAACGACTTGACCGACACCACATGACGCAAATAGTTTATGCCTTGTATTTCTTGGTCGTGTAACATGAGATAGACTATCTGCAAGGCTTTAACAATGATACTTAGTATCGCTTGACTGACCAGAAAAAAAACATTTTACTTTCTAGCCCGACTCTAATAAATAGTGCTAAAAATATGATAATATTTGTACTGTGTTAAGAATGTGGTGCAAGTCTACGCCATTAAATTGCGGGCCAAGCATTGAAAGTTTAGAGAAAAAAAACTGTCGTCATAACGGCAAAATAACTCCTTGACCCACCCTAACAGGCAAGGCAACGGTGATTAAGTTAACAGTTCTGTCCAAATTGACATATGTCTTAACCTTACTCCACCGCCCGCCGGCCACAGTGATCACCCGTTTGAGGATATTTGTTTACGTGTATGTGGAGCGGGAAAACGAGCTCGAGCACGTCGAAGTACATTGACTTCACCAAACTCATCTGGTGGCCAAGGTACGGTAGATCTAAGATGCTACGTGATGACACTAAAATTATTGTGAGTAACGACAACAGAACCAACATAAGAACTCTAGGCTTTAACCACAAATTATGAACGTTCTCTAGGGAGGAGAAACTGCGCTTGAGACAAAGGCAGCATGTTGCTTTGCTACCTTAGTGACAGATTGAGCAATTTATTTTGGAGGGCGGTTGTATGGTCCTTGAGTTCGTTCATTAGAACGTTTGACGTGGAGGATCTGAGCATGAGAAGAGCTTCCCAGCTTTCACGATCTGACTAAATGAAGTACACTATATCCGCTATCGAACATGGAAAAGTGCTGACTGCTGCATTTTGATGACTGACGAAAACGGTCCGCTGAAATATTGTTATTCGCGGAGGCGAAAGCAGCATATCACCTACACAAAACATTTCTGGACTACGCTGATCTCATCAGTTGTTTACTTTGAGCATACACAGCAACAAAAATACACATGGAACTCTGAATGTTTTGAACAACGTTACCTACCCGTTTAAAGTAAGAAAAGAGACAAGGTATATATATATATCTGTATAATCGCTCGATGCTTCGCAGAAACCAAACAAAACTTTGGATAAATACACAGACCACTGCGCGTCAAATGAGTCAGCCAGCCCATATGACCGCATGGACACTGATTACTGTGATCCCATGGAGGGGCATATGTCATTAATGACATGGATGATGCTGACTAGAAATGGGTTGGCATGCTCGTTACTAAGACGTCCCCATGGAGGTCCCGCCTGATGACCTCCGGACGCCCTTCGCGGCATGGGCTTTGGCGCGTGTTTTGTGCTCTAACAGTGCGACGTATTTGATAAATCCTGCATTCGGAAAGTGTCGTGCATGGAAAGCCACCTCCGCTTTCCTCGAAAGGTAATGGCTTGGGTGAGTGCTATGTGTATAGGCAATGGCTTGGCTGAGTGCTGTGTGCATAGACAATGACCTGGCTGAGTGTTATGTGCATAGACAATGACCTGGCTGAGTGTTATGTGCATAGACAATGGCCTGGCTGAGTGTTGTGTGCATAGACAATGGCCTGGCTGAGTGTTGTGTGCAATCATTTCAGCAGCAGTGTGGTGGCTCGCACGGCTGGGTAGCGGCGAAGGTGGTCCAGCTGCTGTTCCAGTGTCGGGACACGCCCCCCCCCCCTCTCGCGCCACCAATGCACGGTCACCGGCTGAGCTTTCCATTCGTCGCCGCTGCATAACCGTCTGGACTTACGCAGAGCGAGCATGGTCCATGCCATAGAAAGGGGGGCAATGGTCTCGAAAACGGCATGGTGACCAGGGGACTCAGTGGAGGTTTGTAGGGCCGGTGATACGGTGTGGGTCACGTTTGAGGACCGGGAGACTCAGTAGAGGTGTGTAGAGTCGGTGACGCAGTGTGGACCACGTCTGCAGGCCAGGCGACTCAGCAGAGGTTTATAGAACCCGGTGATGCAGTGTGCGTCACGTCTGCGGACCAGAGAACCCAATAGAGGTTTGTAAAGCCGGAGAATAGGTTTGCAGGGCCGGTGATGCGGTATGAGTCATGTCTGCGGACCAGGGGACTCAGTAGAGGTTTGTAGAGCCCGGTGATGCAATGTAGGTCACGTCTGCGGCTAGCGGGTCGATGGATGGAACTGACTACATACTAGAGTGTTGGAAGGGATGAGTGTCAAGGTGACAGTTACGCTGTTTAATGGGCTTGTGTGCCCATCACACGGACCACAGTCGGACGCGCTATGGCTGCTGGGGCGTCGCGAGCTGCACTGAGATGACGTACTGGGCCCCAAGTCCCATCGGCGGCGGGCCTGTGGTAGCACCTGCCGCTCCCGTGTCAGAGCTGGAACAGCGCCGGGTCCTGGAGAATCCGAACCCGAATTTGAGCCCGAACGCGTCCAATCTGCCGCGCTCGGTCCTGATCCGAGCCCGCGCCCGGCGTCGGCAGCGCCTGAGGCTTATGATGCCGGTGTCTTAGTGTCGTTCGGTGAAGTCGAATATTGTGATGATAGGCTGTGGACGGCCAGCTTGGCAGGCACTTTAGCGTGCTTTGTCCTGCTCCGTCAATGTCCCTCTTGCAACGTAGAGACTGTGATGGAAGTGCTGTACGACTGGTGATCTGTGACGTCAGCGGTGACATCACATGTCACAGCTTCCGATTCGTCGCCTCTGGCTAGCTGTGCAACGCGGACAGATGGCGCGTAAATATGGGAGTCGAGGCTAGACCACCGAGCTGTGTGGACCGCGTGGATGAAAATGGCCACACGGCAACTGCTGGCGCGTAAGCGTGCTTATCAAACTTGGCTATCATAGGCGACATGCCTTACTGGATTGCCTTTTAATGCTCCATGAGCACTAGAAGAAATATATCTCCGTCAATATGCTTACACCAGTCAGCCCATACTGTCAGGAGACCGCTACCACCTGCTGCTGCTGCTGCTGCTGCTGCTGCTGCTGCTGCTGCTGCTGCTACTGCTACTGCTACTGCTACCGCTACTGCTGCTGCTGCTGCTGCTGCTGCTGCTGCTGCTGCTGCTGCTGCTGCTGCTGCTGCTGCTGCTGCTGCTGCTGCTGCTGCCGCTGCTGCTGCTGCTGCTGCTGCTGCCGCTGCCGTCCCAGCCGCTATATGCCCCCAGCCAACACTCAACACTGAGGACGCTGCCTAAGATACCCAGCCACGTGTTCATCTCTCCATTGAGGACACTGACTAAGATACTCAGTCAGGTGTTCATCTCTCCATCTGCATCGCGACAAAACGCTGTCATATCTGGTAGTGCAAAATGTATGATGGTCTCAATATCATGGAACGCACGAACCCACACACCACACACAGACCAACTAGCTACCTAAAATAACGCCTAAAGCACACCCAAACCTAAGCAGAACTTTGGCAATGTAATATCATCTCATGGGGAAGCATCTATGCATACCGTGTAATCGGGCATGTTTAAAGCACTGCCCTGCGTGCGAGTAGGCTCGCGGCAGTGCTATAGACCACGACATTGCCACAGGAAAAACATCGGGGCACCAAGTCAGCAACACTTTGAGGATGTCACATCAAATGACACACAGTCAGCATGCCGCTGTATGCGCCACAGCGGAGGCAGACGACTACGGGACACGGATGAACACCGTTCACCTAAGCTAAACTTGCACATAATCGCAAGAACATGACCAGAATAAACCAATAAAACCACCCGCGTGCCGCGCAGCCTGGTGCACCACTGCCCCCACGCCGGGTCACTTCGGTGCTGACAACACCAAGCTAATAGCTCAGACCGGCCGTGCACCAGCCGCGCACATGGCGACCGAATGCGAGTGCAGAACACCCAGGCGAGAGTCAAACAGGCTTCACATGACACTGATGCCTTCTCATTGCACAACAGCTTGATCGTGTTTTGACAGATACACGGCTAGGAGAGCTGGGATGGTGGACTCGCGCTAGGTCCAGCGTTGTGCACTGGGCTTACAATGTCAAATTCTGCGTTGTGCACTGTGGTTACAGCATCAATGATACACGTTATAACGTATATCGGCTACTGTTTCCGAAGACGTTTTGTCAGAAAGCTCCTGTTTTGTACTACCAGCTCAAAATGCCGTCCGCATTTACACTAAATCTGGGCCACACAACAGCTGCAACTAATCTTAATGGAAGGAACCATCAGCACACTGGACAAACGCCAGGCCAGAATGTCGTCCAGATGCCAGAGATCACGGCCAGCTCGCGCGGTCTGCGGTGGATCACGCGGCTGGAGCGGGCAGGTCAGGCCAGAATGTCGTCCAGATGCCAGAGATCACGGCCAGCTCGCGCGGTCTGCGGTGGATCACGCGGCTGGAGCGGGCAGGTCAGGCCAGAATGTCGTCCAGATGCCAGAGATCACGGCCAGCTCGCGCGGTCTGCGGTGGATCACACGTCTGGAGCGGGCAGGTCAGCTGAGCGACCATGATGCGTCGCAGATGCCGGTGTTGCCAGACGACTTCAACGGATGCAGTCTGCCGATCCGCGACAGATGACGTGGTCAGACGTGGTGCTGTCCGCCGGTATTGCCAGACGAGCTCGCCAGGTGCCGTGCAGTCAGACAGCGCTGCCAGACGAGCTCACCAGGGGCAGCGCAGCCAGACAGCGTTGCCAGACGAGCTCGCCAGGTGCCGTGCAGTTAGACAGCGCTGCTGGACGAGCTCACCACACTTGGTGCAGTCGGGAGGCGTAGTTGAAGCAGAGCTCGCTCCGGTAGTCCCGACCCGGCGTGCAGAAGAGGCTCTCGCACAGCGCGATGGCGTAGAAAGTGACCGTCAGCTCTCGCCTCTTGATCAGCCGCGCCGGGTTCTCCAGCACCTGAGCGAGGACCGGCCAAGTGTCCTCAGACGTTCTCAGTGTCCTCATGCGCGCGCCAGCTCCGTCGTCAGCTTAGCGCAGCATCACCAGCACCAGAACCAGCACCAGCACCAGCACCAACATCAGCCCGGCGACCGCCGAAAACTGACGCTAAGCACCGCCACGCGCGGATACAGCAGACAAAGATGTAGATGATACGTGTACAGGTAATGACAGGAATGCCACGCCTGAACTGTGACCGCGAGATCGGGATTGTGAGCAAATCAGCTGTATTGTAGTGTTTCCTGCCGAAGGCAGCAGTGTGTGTTGTGTGATGCTGTTCGACGGATCCGTCCGGTGTCCTGTGCATGGCTCAAAGACATATTCACGTGTCCTGTTCGCGGCTCACAGACATATTCACGTGTCCTGTTCGCGGCTCAAAGACATATTCACGTGTCCTGTTCGCGGCTCACAGACGTATTCACGTGTCCTGTTCACGGCTCAAAGACGTATTCACGTGTCCTGTTCACGGCCCACACACGTAAACACGTGTCCTGTTCACGGCCCACAGACGTATTCACGTGTCCTGTTCACGGCCCACAGACGTAAACACGTGTCCTGTTCACGGCTCACAGACTTATTCACGTGTCCTGTTCACGGCCCACAGACGTATTCACGTGTCCTGTTCACGGCCCACAGACGTATTCACGAATGAGTTGTTAAGTGCATTCCCGAGGAACGTTGTGCGTGTAGATGGTAGAGTAATAACAAACCAATTCCTCGTAGAATAAACAGGAGAATGGAAAGATAGATGTAACATTTCCGCCGCATGTCTGTATCGAAACGAGTATGAGTAGTCTAGGAGTCCTGGTCTAGTAGCATACAAGTACGTTTTAACATGATTGTACTCGATCTCTGTACAGGGCATATTGTGGTGTAATTGCTAAGCCAGAAGGAGACGCTCACTTTATTGAGCGCGCTCAACTGATCACGCGCAGCCACCATATCACCACCATACCTTGTCTGATATGTGACCTGGCCCAACACCCTGCCCGGTCTCACATCTCACCTCACCCTGGTCTCACACCTCACCCGGGTCCAGCACCCTACCTCCTACCTGGGCCGCCACCCCGCCTGCTGCAGTGGGCTCACCTGGTTCAGCAGGCGGTCGATCCTGTCAAACTCGACGTCTGTCAGCTCGAGCAGCAAGTTGACCTCAGGGATGAAGAAGTGCGACAGGTAGCGCTGCCGAATGTAGCGCTGCAGCCGCAGTGCCAGCCGATGCAGCAACACCTCCTCCACGCCGTCAGTACACTCCAGCACCCCGGCCTGATCCAGCTCCCAGTACAGCACCGTCTGGGGCCGGTGCAACGTCGGAATGGTCAGCAGGAGGATCTGAACGGCACACGCTAAGCGCCAATGCAGAGTTGAATTAAAATTGAGAAGCTTTCCGCCATTCCCCTCGAGTTTCAGCGACACAGTGGCAATACTCAGTCATCGACCAGCGCCCTCTGAACGAGCTCCCTGCCAACATATTCAGGCCCCCAGCGACGACGCATCGGCTGTGCCGACCTTAAGGTAGTAGGAGCGGAAGTTGCTGTTGTTGACAGTCGTCGGGCAGTCGGCCTGCATGATGTACTTCTTGACAAGCCACTTGAGCGTCAGGTAAGCCCGCCGGTAGTGCTCCGGTATGTTTTTGCTGAGGGTGACCTCCGCCTGGCGCCAACAGCTCTAATTATTCATCTGTTGCGTGTTCTCCGCGAGACCCTCACATTGTTGAGTGTCTCACATTATAGTGTCTCACATTGTTGAGCCCTCACATTGTTGAATCCCTCACATTGCTGAGTCTATCACAGCGTTGAGGCCCCCACATTTTTGAGCCCTCACATGTTGAGCTCCTCACTCACATTGTTGAGTTCCTCACCATTTTGAGCCATAACGTTGTTGAGTCTCTCACATTGTCCCACCTATCACACTGTTTTTTTGTTTGATTGACTGGTTGAGTTGATGATATGTTACCCCGTCACATTGATCAGTCAACTGCAGTTTACGCTGCAGCAGCCAGGGCAGAGTTTCAGAGCATTTGCTCACAGCGCCCAACACTTGACGCTTTCATAGACACTTGGGAACGGAGAAGGGGAAGACACAACGCCACAGCACGGAACGAGCGTCGGCAGCATGGCAGCACGGAGCGAGGGGGTGGGGGGGGGGGGGGCAGCATCCCAGGGACACTCTCAAGTGGCACCACCAGCACCCGCCGTCTGCTCTCACCTGTGAGAAGGAGTAGCGCCAGAGCAGGTGGGCCTCCTGGCAGGGCGCCTCCCCGCGCACGTCCACACACGCGCACGTGATGGCAGACTTGGGCACCAGGTGGCAGCCGCATCGCACCACCGTGTCCACCACGTTGCGCGACGGCCACAGACGTGTCCTGGGGGCGCGCGGAGGCCGGTCAGCGCGACCGTGTGAACAGCCTGAGGCGGCGTCCCTCGCCGTGTTCTGGTGAGGTCTGCAGCGTCCCTCGCCCTGGTCTGGTGAGGTCCGCAGCGTCCCTCGCCCTCTCCCACCCCACGAGTTTGCACATCCCACACTGCATGCTCCATGATCCGACTTATCACCGTCCAGCGACATCACCGCATGAGAGCCCAGACTATCTAGACCATCCAGACTATCCAAACTACCCAGACTACCCAGACCGCCCAGAGCATCCAGCAATACAATTACGCCCCTCCGCCTGAGGCGGCAGGAGGCCGACTGAACCTAGGCTCATTCGCTTTTTGTGGCAGTTAAGCATGATCTCTGCGCCGATGCAGGCAGACTCGTTTTTAAAGGAGTCTAGCTTATTCTTCCTGGGAGGAAAACAGTGCCAAAGAGTCGGATACTTGCCGGACCGTTTCTATACCCTGCACCAACAACCCCACATCTGGTACCCCTGCACCAACATCCCCACATCTGATACCCCTGCACCAACATCCCCACATCTAATACCCCTGCACCGACATCTCCGCATCTGATACCCCTGCACCAACTTCCCCACATCTAATAACCCTGCACCGACATCTCCGAATCTGCTGGCCTCGCTGTGACCCATGTGCGTCCACTGACCTGGTTTTGAACTCGCGTGCTTGTATGGGCCAGACAGGACAGACGAGTGCCGTCACAAAGTCGCCGTAGAAGATGGTGGGCAGCTTGAAGAAGCACTGCGACACGCACACGAAGACGGACGCGAAGCAGGCCGATACGACCAGGTAGGCGATCATGGCGACCACGTACACGTTGTCCGACGGCTGGCCTGGCCCAGACAGCATCAGCACCAGCATCGTGACCGGTAGCACCAGCACCATCGGCAGCAGCAGCGTCACGCAGTAGTAGATGGAGCAGCAGGCACCGCCGATACACTTGCGCACCTGGCGGCCGGAGACGGAACTAACGTCTTCGGTGACGGCGGGCGAAGCTCGTCCCGCCCTGTTTCCATGTGCCATATGCTACCACCTGCTACCGTCTGCTACCATCGGCATCGCATCGCGAAGTTCATGGAGATGCAGGCACAAGGCTTGTCATATGGCAAAACACCATGCCATTACCCGTGTATATGTACCTAAATGTGTCAAGAACGAAACACTTGGCTTGATACTAAAAAACAAAAGGTACCCAATTAGGCACGTAACCGATCAGCTCGTCCCGCGCCAACGCACAGCGGCAACAACTTTCTAAAAACCGCATCTTACCGGCCAAGATCCTCCCGTGAGGAAGATCCAGAGTGAGAACGGGATGAGCATGACGACGACGAAGCAGAGGCACAGCCAGTAGCAGCAGCTGTTCTGGAGACAGGTCAGCCGGGCGAACGCACGGTCATCGCGCTGGGTCAGCTTCAGCATGATGGCAGGACCTCGTGCCCGCACCTCTTTCTCGTAGCTGTAACGCCAGGCCCGGGGTTAGCACTACCCGCTGGCGGCGCTGGGGCGCCCGGACTCGGCGCGTTCAAGGTCAAAGGGTCGTTGCGTTTACGACGATGCATTTTCGTCGAGCGTCCTCCGCCGTACGGGAATAAGGCCAGGTGTTATGGGGTTTATTTTCATGGTACAATTCCCATTAGCGTTGTCCACACCATCAGGTGAAGAAATCCGACTCTTTGGCACCGCCCAACTGTGAAGCGGCGAGACAATGCTAGGCCATGGCTTAAGTAGCCGAATGAAAGCGCAACCATACGACCGTTTCATTGCGTAGTTCTCGTCTTTGACGGCAGAAGTATAATGTAGGGGATGGGAGCAAGCGTTGGTCAACAAAAAATTATGTGGATGGGTTACGTGCTTTAATGGTGGTTGAAATAAGGTTGTTGGTCACTGTCTACGTGTCAAACAGGAGATACACTATCGACATCACGTAGCACGGCCCAAGACAGTTTTTACTACAGACGGCATAGGAAGGAGGTCTTTGGCTCACCATGGCAGGAAACTGATGAGCCGCTGGGAACAGCGGGACAGAACGATGCGTCATGACAAGGGACAGGTTCAAAATCAAGCCCGGTAGATAAAGTCCAGCTAGTGCAGTGGGCATAACCAGAGCCTGAACCCAGACCGTCGGGTGGGAGCCGGCGGCGCTAACCATTCGGCCAGCAGTCGTCCGCGTACCTGGGCACGCCTCGGTAGTCCGCCAGACAGCTGTCCACGATGGACATGTTGCTGCGGTCCTGTTCTATGGCGAGCTGTAGCGAGCCGAACATCTCCTCCATCAGGCGGCGTGCCTTCAGGCTGAAACGGCTAGAGGTCAGCTCTGACAGGCCGGCGGGGTCAGCTCTGACAGGCCGGCGGGGTCAGCTATGACAGGCCGTTGGGGTCAGCTCTGACAAGTCGTTGGGGTCAGCTCTGACAGGCCGGCGGGGTTAGCTCCGGCAGGCCAACGGGGTCAGCTATGACAGGCCGTTGGGGTCAGCTCTGGCATGCCGTTGGGGTCAGCTCTGACAGGCGAGCGGGTTCAGCTCCGGCAGGCGGGCGGAGTCGGCTCTGACAGGCCGGCGGGGTCAGCTCTGACAGGCCGGTGGGGTCAGCTCTGACAGGCCGTTGGGGTCAGCTCTGACAGGCCGGCAGGGTCAGCTCTGACAGGCCGTTGGGGTCAGCTCTGACAGGCCGGCGGGGTGAGCCCTGACAGGCCGTTGGGGTCAGCTCTGACAGGCCGGCGGGGTCAGCTCTGACAGGCGGGTGGGGTCAGCTCGTTCCTCATGGCTGACACCCGGGGTGGAGCGCCATCTGGAGTTGATTCTCACATCTGGCGCCGGCGCCAACTCCTTCCCGGCTGTCCCTACCTAGGTTGTCTCCTAACCGTCCCTAGATCAGCAGCCACCGGACCCTGCCTGGACCGCCCACAAACCGTCCATGCTTTGTTGTTGATTGGGGTTTTAGGGCGCGCCGATTACTAAGGCAATTTAGCGTCCCGTCCCTTATCCCTCCCCAGATCCTCCGGACCCACCCGAACACCCTCCTTGCCCCATCCCTGGATCAATTCCGGCCAATCCCTGGACCATTCCTTGAGCATTCCTACACTGTTCTTCGACATTTCCTTAACCATTCTCGACCATGTATTGCCTTTCCGTGACGATTCCTGGATCATTCCTCGAACATTCATTGACTATCATTTGGCCATCCCCGTTCCTTGACCATCCCTGCTCCATTTCTTGGCCATTCGCTTGAGTCACCGCTCAGCCTCCCCAAATCGATGGCTGGGCCGTAGCTGCCCACCTGGAGAGGTAGACGGCGCCGTCGCCGCTCGTCTCGCTGAGCCGCTCCTGCCACCAACGTCGGTCCTCGGGCAGCACCCGCTCCAGCAGCAGCTGCACGCGAGCGAAGCCCGGCGGCGTGGCGGCGCTGTTGGTCACCTCCAGCGTTGTCAGCTGCCGCCGCAGCCGGACCTGCCGACAGCAGCACCGACAGTGGACGGGACAGTCCAGACCGACCGCACCGGCAGTGGAGGGGACGGTCCAGACAGATCGCAACGGCAGCGGACCTGGACAGTCCAGACAGACCGCACCGGCAGTGGACCTGGACTTCTCGGCGCCAGAGAACTCTTGTACATGCGTATGGTGGTCCAGGGACAGCCCACGGACGGCCCGACGACGGTGGTCTGGGGATGGTTCAGGGACTGCCCAAGAAGGACCCTGGGGAGGCCCATTAAAAGCCTTCACTCGGTCACTCATGCGGTGAGATAGGTTGACAGTAAAAAACAAAACAATAAAAAACCGTGACGTAACCATTTTTCTGGAAAAAAAGAACAGCTCACAACGAACAAACATTAAGACGGTAAGCATTTTAGTCAGAGTTCATGTGATAAGTGTCTAGCCTGCCATACAGCATTCTGCACCCTCCCGCCAACCACCCACCTACTACCTCAACCTGTGTCCTCCCACCTACCACCCGCCTACTACCTCAACCTGTGCTCTCCATCCTACCACCCACGTGCTGCCTCAACCTGCGCCCTTCCACCTACTACCCACATGCTACCTCAACCTGTGCCCTCCCACCTACTACCCACATGCTACCTTAACCTGTACCCTCCCACCTGCTACCCACATGCTACCTCAACCTGTGCCCTCCGCCCAAGCCAAGGCACGCTGACCACCAATGCCGCCGGCCGCGCAGGCCGCCTGGCTCTCTCACCGTGCTGCAGCTGGCCGACCTTTGCATGGCCTGTGGCTCGATGGCGCCCTCTGGCGGCGGCCGCACCAGCATCTCACACTGCTCGCCCGCCTCCCGGGGCTCGGCCAGCGGCGGCGGCTCGTCCTCATCCAGCTCGGGCAGCGTGTAGTCGATCGAGCACTGGCGAGAGAGCAGCCGGGGGTCGGCGCGCCTTGGACCGGCGGCGCGCTCCATCACCTCCAGCCCCGGCGGATCGCGAGGCGTGGCCCCGCGGGCTGACGCGCCGCCGCAGGTCCGTGCCGCGGGCATGAAGGGGGCCGGATGAGGCTGTGGGAACCCGCTGAACGAGATGGTGTGGTACGGCGAGACGCCCTCCAAGTCATGCCAGGAGAGCTGGCGACCGCCGGCGTCGGCCGGCGCCACGGGCACCTGGGGATGAGTCACAGGTCACAGAGGTCACACCTGGGGACCGGTCACAGGTCACAGAGGACACACCTGGAGACGGGTCGGAGATCACCAAAGACACACCTGGGGACCGTCAGTGGTCCGGAGGACGCACCTCGGAACGCGTGGCCACTGGTCCCACATGTCACAAATTTAGGGAGAGGTCGCAGGTTACAGGTTCGTGACGTTACATTTAATGACAGGCCACAGATGTGAGGTCACACCACCTGCGACCATGGTCAGAACATATGCTACAACTCAGGTCCGAGGAGGTGGACATACCACACATCAGGTCACAGGAGTAAGACACACCACACCTCAGATCACAAGGGTAAGACACACCACAACTCAGGTTACGGGATAAGACACAACACAAGTCAGGTCAAAAGGGCGTGATACACGATAGCCTAGGTCCCATGGGTAAGACACACTACACCTCAGGTCACATGGGTGAGACGCAACACACCTCAGGTCTCAGGGGTGAGACACACCACACCTCAGGTCACAAAGGTAAGACACACCACACCTCAGGTCACATGGGTGAGACATATCACAACACAGGTCACAAGGGTAAGACACACCACACCTCAGGTCACAAGGGTAAGACACACCACACCTCAGGTCACATGGGTGAGACATATCACAACACAGGTCACAAGGGTAGGACACACCACACCTCAGGTTGCAAGGGTAAGACACACCACAACTCAGGTTACAGGGGTGAGACACAACACAAGTCAGGTCACAATGGCGAGATACACCATAGCTCAGGTCACATGGGTAAAACACACTACGTCTCAGGTCACAGGGGTGAGACACAACACACCTCAGGGCGGTGTGTCTCCTCATTAGAGCGCGGCGGTGGTTTCACCCCTAGGTACCAGGCTGTACCTCAGGCCGTGTGCGGCCACTGGCGCGCCGGTGCTCCTGCCCTCACCTGCAGCACCACCATGAAATCGGCGTCTGCGCCGAGCACCGGCCGCGTCAGCCGGTACTCCTGTAGCGAGTCCTCCGCCTCCGGACGGGCGCACAGCGACTTGCCCAGCCGAGAGCTCAGACTGCCCACCATCAGCAGCGAGACGTCACACCGGCTGAACAGCTGACTCAGGCTCAGCTCTATGGTCGACTTGATCTGCTCCGAGCAGGCCGACCGCGAGTCCTGCCGCAGGAGGGCAGCACCAGCGGCATTAGGAGGGCAGCAGAACACGGCGGCGGCGAATGTCAACCAGCGGGCTCGCTCAGGGGCGTAATAGCCGGATAGGAATGGAAATGGGCACAATGTCCGAGAAGACTTTTTGGCCCCGTGCTAACTGACCTCTCGATGTTACCACGGCAAAACAACAGAGACATTTTGGAATTCCTTCCTCGTACCTAGCAGCGCTGGATTACGGGCGAACCATGTTCGTTTTGGGACTCGGTGGTCACTGGTAGTTGCGTCCAACGCGTGGCTAGCAAGTTTCGAGATTATGCAATGTACGCCACAAGCTGTAATGCCGACGAAATCGTAAATACCAAAAGGCGTGCTTTGTTCATGCGATGTTCTGAAGATGCATTCTCGCGTGCGCCTCACCCACGATTTCTTGTCCATGCCATAGTTCACATAATGCACGGCCTTCATGGTGCTGGAGAGTCTGCAGTACGCCGGTAGGCGACAGCACCATCGGATAGCGCTCCATGCATTGCTGCAAATCCAGCGAGTGGCGAAAATCTGGAAAGAAAACAGAATTATACGTCACCGCGACACTGGGGTTTTCCACAAATATTTCTACAATTACGTGCATAATGCAGGCACCCGAGGCGTGACAAGCGAGCACAGACTTGGAGCCGCAGCTAGGACGCCAAATTAAATAGCCGTATTTACGAGGCCGAGGGCAGCTCAAGGGGGTGGCATGTTCGAAGTTAACACCTCACATCGCGTGGCCTCCATGCACACCTGAGGCTTAAGTGCCGCAGACTCGTCCCAGCACTGTCCGGGCGCCCATGTCCATGGCGCTCACAGAGCTTCGACGACTCTCCGGCCACAACGCCTGCCACGCAAACAAACAGAAGAGGATGTCGTACCAAAAGGAAAATGCCGGAGATGATGGCCCATACGTGAAACCAGCAGGAGAAGCGGGTGCGGCAGAGGCATTGGGCAGACAGGGCGTCCGTCCTGCGGGCAGACAGGGTCGCAGGTGAAGAGACGAGAGGAGCGGACGGAACCGACCATCCCACTTATCGTGAGAGTTCTAGCACTGGTTCTGCGGGATGCATGGAATGTCAACACCAAAGCCAGATGCTCAACCCCATCCGCAGCTGGGGTCAAATCGGGAAAAAAATCCGTCATATTACTTGACATTTCTCTTGTTGGCCTTTTCAAAAATCCTGTACCCACTGACACAAGACGGCAAATTTGCTTTTAAGATTTCAACCGAACCTTTTGAATGGCCGCACTTTTGGATCAGAGCTCACGCTGATCAATGTTTGTTGTGTGAGCCCTGACACCTAGCACCCGAACCCAGAATTCCAGGGCAACGGCAACATTTGGTGGTGGAAGTTGAACGTCCCGCGATGTTCTGCATGGTTCGCCCTGCCCACGTCAACTGATCTTTGGCGCAGCCGCTACCACCGGCCGCAGGCCATACCTGCCAAGGACACAAAGAGAAGGTCTAAAGCGCCTCGAACCCACCCGGAACAGGTGGGTGGATCGGAAGGCAGGCGCTCCAACCAACTGAGCCGCCGGGCGGACTCAGTTGCTCAATGCTCGAAGTCAACCGAACCATAATCTATCCGTTTCCGAGTCGTCTCAATCACGCCACGATCGTCAACTACAACCACGTCCGTTCCAATCCAGATTGATATCCATGCCATGAAGAGCCCTGGTCCCCAGCTCCCTGTACTCGGAACAACAGCTTCTGTGGACACCCCAGAATATGAGCGATGACGGTGGGAGTGAGGGGCGGACATCTAAAGGCGCACAGGCCTGCTCAGCCATCTGACAAACACACGAACACAAGCACTGGTTAATTTGAAAACAGAACAAGCTAGGGACGCTTGACAGAGGAGCGCGGCCGTGAGCAGTGCCTTCACTGAACGGTCACAACAGAGCGTGAGCGAGAGGCTACCCCGCACTATGTGCTGATGTCACCCTCCCGAGACCCTGCCTGCCAGGTGATGCTATCCCGCACTATGTGCTGATGTCAACCTTCTGAGACCCTGCATGCCAGCTGATGTTACCCCACACTATGTGCTGATGTCACCCTCCCGAGACCCTTCAGCAACGAGCGGCGGCGACAAGACATCGCCTGAAATTCTGGCCATCGTTACACTCAGTGGCGACGCACACCAGATTTTGGGGCGCACCCAAATTCCAGCTCCGTCGAAAGCGCGAGCAAATAATTGGTACCCTTTAAGCTAGCGTCAGGACCATTGGTACCCTTTAAGCTAGCGTCAGGACCATTGGCACCTTGGCAGCTGGCGTCAGGACCATTGGTACCCTGAGAGCTGGCGTCAGGACCATTGGTACCCTTTAAGCTGGCGTTAGGACCATGGGCACCCCGGCAGCTGGCGTCAGGGCCAGGGCTGCTATCATTTCCAGAGACATGTAGAGAACACCCACTGCATGGTTCCAGCGCCACTTCCCACTCGCTGGCAGTGGTTCTTCTCACGCAGCAGCTCTGCCCAGCTCGGGTCCGACAGCAGGTGGTGTGTCTCGCACCACAGCGCCTGGAGGCACGTCACCAACAACCGTCAGCACAAACACAGCGACTGCCTCACCCAGTATGCTCCTGACCTCGTCTCAAACCTGAATGAAACACAACAAATAAGCTGCAAATTCACCACATATCGGCAGACATGACTCTTCAGGTGGGTTTGAAAGTCCATGCTCAATGGTGAACTATAAACCAGGTTTTAATCTCAATTGATACAGATATACCGTATATTTTGCCCATATGCACAAACATGATTTGTATAGAATTGCATACAATCCAAGGCCTAATAAGAATCCGGAACATGGAACGCTTATGAAGACACGTCATTGAACAGTTTTTTAACCGAAGCATTCGATCAAAGTAGTCCGCCTTACCCTTGCAAGCATATCTTACATTGTAAACAACGGGACCCTTAATGACAGAAATATGGCGAACCAAGAAAATTAAAGATGGGACGACATGAAAGTTACGAGTCATGGCAAATGGACACAAAAGGGCAGTCGAGGACGTACAGGAGTGGTGTGCTGAGGTACATTCAGAGCGGGTGTTATTGCTATCCTTATCGGGGCCAGCGGCTGCTGTTTTTATTGATGGAACGTTGGAGATCACGCATAAAAGTCGTGTTTTTAAGTGCCCTTGATATGCCCTTGACGCTTGCAGGGATCGTCACCGGTACTCGTCAGCAAGATTCCGTGGCGGCGGCTGATCAAGCGCCAGGATGGCACGGAATTGATCACCCTGTCACCCTCCGGGACATCCTCGCTGTATTCACGGCCGTTAATGACTCGCGGACTCCGTTGGCAATCCGGTGGCTATTCTACGTGCCAAAGACACACGCACAACAGTTTCCCCATGTTGGCTTGTCAGGAAACACAATAAATCCGTGATGGGTCATAAAAAGGAAGCCCAACCGGGTTGTTGGCATGCTTGCTGAGAACCACGCGGCGATGGTCAAAAACCCGTTCACGCACCGGACGAATATACTCTGTGTAGCCAGCCGTACACAGCGAGCATGGATACACACACTGGACTGTTGGTGGAGCAAGTCCTGACAAATGCATGGGACGCACCTGCCCCGTCTGATGGACACGTTGGTCTGCGCAAGTCAGCACCCATACGTGCTGTGTGCCTGGATGGTCCAGACCACTGTGTATTCTCAGTCACTATTTTTAAAAGATTTGTCGACCTTGGCATAGCTAGCTGTCGGTGCAGGGCAACGTGAGGTACACCATATGTTCTTGTTGGATGCCCTTTGCTGGAACGTTGGTTTATGATTTGTTTTAAGAAGATAGGGGTTAGCCTGCAGGATGTCTGCCGTTTTTGCATTAACACGCAATCGGGTAGGGGGTCAAATTGACCCCCGAAGGTTTTTCCAGAATGGCTTTCACACGACGCAGCGCCGTTGTCCAAATTCTGCGTAGCTGTGGAAAGTTGAATAGCGGGCCGTTTGGTAAAAAATTTAGATGTACCTTGTAAGGTCGCTTACTTATCGCAGGCCAAAGTCAGGCCATGGATTCCGTGAGGTCCATTTCTAGGGAATCGTTCAATCTGGTCCAACAACGGAGTGTGAAACGAAACCATTTATCTCTGAAATACTTTCTCAGGCATAACAATTGAATGAACAAATCCCACTGACCTGAGGGCAGTTTTGAAGGTCAATGCTTGTCTGTTTTATTACTTTAAAGCTTGCTGAGTGAGGCAGTTTCTGGTGCTCATTTCGAATTTATTGATAGCAGGAGCCGTATTACACATCTTCCGTGCACTTTTGAAAGGTCAGAAGAGGTCACTGACCCAAAACGACCCAGGTCAACATTGCGTTTTAGGAACATACTCCCTAGCGTAATCTCTGTCGCATATTCAAAGGCAAACCTCAAAGCAGTCTCGTATGATTCTGGTCAACATGACCTTCGAAAGGTAAAAAAGGGCACTAACCTTTAATGATCATGTGACTTTCTGCTTAAAACAGCGATCTAGGTTCTGGGGGACATAACAGAACAACCTGGAGATCGACACTGTTTGACCTTATTCGACCCTAAGGTCACGACCTAGGAGCCTCAAAATTCGACATGTGTTCAGATACAAGCCAACACCCTGTGAATTTGGTGTTTCTAGCTCTCTTAGTCTCTGAGATCTCAGGAGGGTCAAACTGACTCCCCACCCGAGCGAAGGGTATCTAGCCGGCCACCCGGACGCGTGTTAATGTCCGGCACGGTCTCCGCTGCGGCTGATGGCCTGCGGCTGACACATGAACAGCTCGGCAGAGCTTATTTGTCGGAGTGGTAATTCTCACACCACTTGGATGTGTGGATGAATATGTCAGGTTATGCCAGAGCGTATTTCTTTCACGTAAACTTCAGAGATGTGAGCATTGTTTCTCGAGCGTGTCAAGAGGGCCCCTAAAAACGGGATAGCGCCGTGTTCATCCTGACGTTTGCTTGAAAACTTATGGATGATGGAGCAAGTTTACAGTATTGAAACCGGCAGAAACTCTGCCCCTTCCCACTCCCCCTCGTGCTCACACTCTAGCAAGATCAAGCATATATCGCATGAAAAACAGGTCTAAGAGAGCCAATAGCATGAGGTTCTATGTGACGCATGAATAGCATGGCAGCCGGTGGGTCCATTTTGTTTTCCATGGCTACTGCCTAGTTTTGCTTGTAGTGCACGTCTTCAGCTCGAAAATGCTGTTGTGTAAGCTTAATCCCATGAGGTTTCGACACCAATCGTGGTAAGGCTAGACGTCTGACTGTTCTTAACGTGGCGCTGAAGCGGATCAGATACCGCCGTGGTGGCCCCACCTATAGGAATATTGGCGTGCAGTCATAACACACCCAAGGTGGGAAAAGGCGCCTTTTGGGGAGTTTCAAGGGTTACTTTAATTTCAACTTCCAAGCAGAGCTCTGGATCTGACTACATGCGTTGTCACAAACTGGAGGAGATGGGCGAGGACAAGTTTGACTACTTAGTGTGGTCTTCCAGCATGGGTGAGGACAAGTTTGACTATACAGTATGGTCTTTCAGCTGTGGACCAGCCGCTTGACACAGTACGGCACAAAGTCATGCCTAGTTTGTGATCTTCGGGGAGAAGGTACCATGTTGAACATTTACAGTCGACGGACGTCGGGCGCCTGGCCTCCGACACGTTCACCAGCTTACCCATGGTAGGCTGCATGGCATGGTGGTCCGAACAGCTGCTGTCGGATCTCGCTGACGTTTGCCCAAGTCGTTCTGGTTGAAAAATAACACGACGGAAGAGTTCGGCTGTTCATTGCCTTCAGAGTCGGCAGTTCGGCTGCTCATTGCCTTCAGAGTCGGCAGTTCGGCTGCTCATTGCCTTCAGAGTCAGCAGTTAGGCTGCTCATTGCCTTCAGAGTCGGCAGTTCGGCTGCTCATTGCCTTCAGAGTCGGCAGTCCAGGTGTTCATTACCTTCAGAGTCGGCTGTTTGGCTGCTCATTGCCTTCAGAGTCGGCAGTTTGGCTGTTCATTGTCTTTAGGGTCGGCAGTTCGGCTGTTCATTGTCTTAGGGACAGAATCCCTCACGATCTAATAAATGGCCCAGTAAGTGGCTTCCGTCTGAATGCAGGCAGCACACCACACATGAGTGACCTCAACTTACCTTCGATAGCTGCACCAGCACGGGAGACTGGTCACGACGTTGATGTGGAGCTCTATCGGTGCCGTCCTTGAACTTGATCAAGACGGTTGTGACACAGCTCGAGCCTGTAGAACTGGAGTCTGCAGAGCTTGAGCCGAGACTGACGTCATGGCCGGTGGTGTGGCAGATGCTGTTGGAGCTGCTGCAGTTGAGTGGAAGCTGGCGATGAGGCTGTTTATTGAGTGGCTATCGCTGCTGGTGAAGCCGGAGCTGTGGCGACGCTGCCGTCGAAGGCGCTATAGCCTTCAGTGGTGCACTGGGCTCTGTTGCAACGCCTGTGGATAGTGAGCGATCTCCAGCTGTCGTCTTCCATATTGACAATGACGATGGTTTGGGCTTCAGCGCGCGTCGAATGCGCCGTTCACGTGGTGCCAATCGTTATCCATCCCTATCAAATGCACAATCTTGTCTACTCCAGCTTCCGTATCGCGAATACTCCTCGCACTGGTAACTCGTCCGATGGCGGCGTCTCAGCGCTAGTAACTCGTCCGATGGCGGCGTCTCGGCATTGGCAACTCGTCCGATTACGACGTCTCAGCGCTGGTAACTCGCCCGATTACGGCGTCTCAGCGCTGGTAACTCGCCCGATTACGGCGTCTCAGTGCTGGTAACTCGCCCAACGGCGGCCTCCCAGTAACAGCGGCTGTCTGAGAGCGGCCCGATCGGCGTGGCGCTAGGTCCGCGCGGCGAGCATCTGCCGCCAGTCGTTGACGGTGCAGAGCGCTGAGAACGGCCCGATCGGCGTGGCGCTAGGTCCGCGCGGCGAGCATCTGCCGCCAGTCGTTGACGGTGCAGAGCGCTGAGAACGGCCCGATCGGCGTGGCGCTAGGTCCGCGCGGCGAGCATCTGCTGCCAGTCGTTGACGGTGCAGAGCGCTGAGAACGGCGCGCCAGCCCCCAGGCCGCATTTAAAACCCTACAGCACGCAATCGACGATCACCAGACAGTTTGATGGTCGACAGCTTCTCGGGACAGTTATTTTGTGTAATGGAATAAATAACACATTTTTGGCGGGTTACCATTTAATTGCCAATGTCCCGCCGCGTGGTCGCCAGCGAACGGCTCACGCCAGTCCGGCCAGGGCGCAGACGGATCGGAGTCACGTGTCAGTCACGTGATCTTTGATCGGATCGGAGTCAATTCCGCGAAATCGTGTCACGTGATCTTTGGCCCCACTACCCAACTGTGTGACGTTACCTGTAGCTTGTCCGTGTCGCGCGAGCAGTTGAGGTCCCTGAGGCGCCGAAAGATGTCCTTCTTGCCGCTCAGCACTGCTGCCTCCGAGTCACCCTTGTCCACCATCGCCTCCCGGAATTCTGTGGACGGGGCAACAGTGAAGCGATCCGAGGCGTCAAACAAGAAGAATGCACCCTCTCTGACGCCGTCTGGTGCAATTTTCATGCGCGAATTCCAGCGAAGCATGTTTGATATAAAACGCGTGAAACAAATGCCATCCGTGCATAATAAGCGCGGGCAACTCCTGCAGCGCTGCTCTGGCAAGAGGGAGGGGCAGATGCGCATCACCTCAGAGCCATGCGATAGTAGAAAGACAGGAGGGAGACGGCAGGGAGACAGCAGGGAGACAGCGGGGAGACAGGGAAGACAGGAGGGAGACAGCAGGGGTTACAGCAGGGGGACAGGGAAGACAGGAGCGAGACAGCAGGGGGTACAGCAGGGGAACAGCAGGGAGGTGACACACAGCTGACTACGTCTCTGCGTGCGTCGCGCCGCAGCTCTCATCGGTCCAACGCGCGCTCCACTGACCGGTACCGTGCTTGCCCGCTCCCCTGATGACCAGCGTGCTCTCATGCACGTCCAGCCGCTCCAGAATCTCGCGCATTTCCTCTGCGGACAGACGTCAGGGGCAAATCAACAACCCACGGTTATGCCTCCAGCACGGAAATCATAGCCTGTGGCGATGACTTTACCTTCAGGAAGCACCGACTGCGCTGCTTATCTGGTGCCCGCAAATCGCAGCCAGTGAGCACCTCAGGGTCGAGCATTTCGTGATTCTGGCGACTAGCATATACCACAGAAGTAACAAGCTGGCGCATGCGTAGCCATCCGATCATTCTTAATTTGTTCATGCTCACAGCAATAGACAAGCTTATGCACGACGTATGTTAATTGAGTTATGCTGTTTAGTTCCAGGGTAGATCACAATTAAACCCATCTGCAGGGTCAATCCGTCCCAAAAAGGTTGGAAACGCTCTTCTAAGCCACACTCTCCGTGTAATGCGAGACCAACATCCCAGCGGTGTGTCGTGTATGTACCATACCCGGCGGAGATTTGCTAGTGCCCCAGACCAAGACCCAGACCCAGGCTAGCGCCCCAGACCCAGGCCATTGGCTAGTGCCCCAGACCCAGATCCAGGCTAGTGCCCCAGACCCGGACTCAGGCTAGTGGCCCAGACCCGGACCCAGGCTAGTGGCCCAGAACCAGGCCCAGGCTAGTGCCCCAGACCATTGGCTACGGCCCAAGACCCAGACCCAAACCATTTGATAGTATCCCAGACCCAGACCTAGGCTAGAGCCTCATACCCAGACCCAGTCTAGTGCCCTCGACCCAGACCATTTTTATTGACGACTGCATTGCACTGAGAGCGAGTATTTGCTGTTAGCACACAATGCAGCATAATCCACAGGGCATTGGCAGAACAGCTCCAAATCACCCCGGTCTCGAACAAAAATGGTCAGCAGGCCGAAGACAAACAATCAATCTATGTTTTGGTGTCGGGTTCATCGACACTAGCGTGACAGAATTCGACTGACAGCTCGGTGAAAGTCAGGCAAGTGAGACCCATGGACATTACCACGAGTACACCATGGAGCGGCCCTGCTGCCAGCACACATGGACGGACGCTGCAGATACACGCCATTCAGCCAGGGCACCGTCACCTGTCTAACAGGCCTCGCCCCGGAGCGGTGCGGCCTGGGCCTGGTGCCAATGACCGCGTACGAGTGCTAACTGATGCACGCACAAATCACGCACACGCATGGCTGCGCCGTGGGGCCTGAATCGCCTGTCCATGCACCACCAGCACCGCGGATCTCACCCGTTCTAACCTAGTCTGTTCGTATAACCAGACAGCTGCCGCGTCCAGAGCTAGGGCCGCGCGGCAACCTCGCCAGGCTGCCGTGCCCAAAGCCACGGTCGTTTGCATGCGGCAAGGACGTCGGACAGCTAACCGCCCCCAGCCCCGCCAGGCTGCACGAGGTGCCATCCGACCCCCAGCCGGCTGCCGGTGGGTGATCCGTGACGCGGTTACCAGTGACCGCGCCGATCCTCGCTCCTCCATTGGTCGAGGAGGGGTAGGGGGGTAATGACACCCACAGTGCATCGGGGATGTGAGCAGTGCATCGGGATCGCTCTAAAACAGCGAGTCTGGGCTCGTCAGAACGACAGGAGTCGATTGACGCTTCAGGCTACGACTGACGCTCCAGGAGTCGACTGACGCTCCAGGAGTCTACTAGCGCTCCGGGAGTCGACTGACGCTCCAGGAGTCGACTGACGCTCCAGGAGTCTACTAGCGCTCCGGGAGTCGACTAACGCTCCAGGAGTCGACTGACGCTCCAGGAGTCGACTGACGCTCCAGGAGTCGACTGACGCTCCAGGAGTCGACTGACGCTCCAGGAGTCTACTGACGCTCCAGGAGTCGACTGACGCTCCAGGAGTCTACTAGCGCTCCGGGAGTCGACTGACGCTCCAGGAGTCGACTGACGCTCCAGGAGTCTACTAGCGCTCCGGGAGTCGACTAACGCTCCAGGAGTCGACTGACGCTCCAGGAGTCTACTAGCGCTCCGGGAGTCGACTAACGCTCCAGGAGTCGACTGACGCTCCAGGAGTCGACTGACGCTCCAGGAGTCGACTGACGCTCCAGGAGTCTACTAGCGCTCCGGGAGTCGACTGACGCTCCCGTTCGAAAGCAGCTGCACAAAAGACGGGCCCGGAGAATCCACCCGCGTGACGTCAGATGGAGTAGAAGATAACGCGCATGTCGCGTGGGGTTCTCAAACTGCGGGAGTCTCGTCCGTGCAGAGCTGCCTGGCAAGGCCGCCTACGTCACGACTCTTGAGCGAGCACTTCCGCATGCCTGAATTACGCGGGTTTAGTCCCTTTCAGGAATGGGCCTGTTAGAGCCACAGCCGTGTGCCCGTTGCTCAGTAACCAGTACGGAGGAGCCACTGGAAAACAGTATTCAGTGGGCAGCCCTTGGCACGAGAGCGGGAAAGACCGGGCGAGCTCAGCACGAGGTAGCCGCGTGTCGCGTGGAGATGCGCTAGACGCCAGACGTAATGCTGAGGGTCAGCCGCAGTATCGACATATTCGTACAGATAATGTCAATGCCGATAGCGGAGGTCACGTGACCAGCCAACAGACTATGGAGATATGTGTGGGGAACACCATGATGTGCTTTGTAGGCCGATGTGGAAGACGATCACAATGCAATGACATGAAGATTGAAGACGCGTTCACGAGACTTATTCGCAATAGGGCTGCAGGAACATCGGGCTGTCTTCGTAACCATAACGAGCAACCTGTTTGTGGCGGATGCATGTGGCCAGCGAGCCGATTGCGTAAATTTGGCGACGAGGATGACGATGCACGTCGCAACCTTAGCCGGCAAGCCACTACAATGCACTTTGAGTTTGCGCGGTCTTGCATCCGTGGTTGTACCCCCGCTAATGGTGCGAGTGGGTGGCGAGTGTGGCGAGTCTGTTGTCTGCTGAAGTTGTCTTGTACGCCAGATGCGTCAGATGTCCGCCAGATATGCCATGCTTGGTCCGTGCTTGGTTCCGCCGGGCTCGGTCTGCAGCTGGTTGCATTTTAACCACCACGCATTGATACCCGCAATTAGCACATCCTGCTACTCATTATTAAGACTACATCCCACTTCACATCGAACTCCATTTAAATATATTTCACTGAAACAACTCTTCTCCTTCTTGACACTCCCCAATTTCTGCAAGAAGACATTTTTCACCAGGACATTGCGGTTTATTGTCATTGAACAGGGGACGCCCCGGTCGACGCCGTGGGGCGGTGGGACGTCGGATCGACGTGGGTTGCATCGTCGCCGCCACCTCCGTTGATCTCAGCCGTGCTTTAGAAAAATCGATCATGGCGTCGACAAAGCTGCAGTGGTATGGCATTGATCCGAGGTGGTTTGAGAGCTACCTTGCTGGTCTTTAGTTAAGGGGGGGTCGCATTTCCTTTCCGCAGACTCACGGCGTCCCCAGGGATCCTTGGTCGGCGCTATCCTCTTCGGCATCTTCACGAACGACCTTCCGTCTTATTTCCCTCGCGGACGTCTAGCACCCCATGCCGACGATACCCACATGCCGCGCACATCCCGCTCACAGTTCCACGCGATTGCCTTGCTGGTCACGCGCACGTCCCGCTCACAGTTCCACGCGATTGCCTCGCTGGTCACGCGCAAGCCCCGCTCACAGTTCCACGCGATTGCCTCGCTGGTCACGCGCAAGCCCCGCTCACGGTTCCACGCGATTGCCTCGCTGGTCACGCGCACGCCCCGCTCGCAGTTCCACGCAATTGGCTCGCTGGTCACGCGAACGCCCCGCTCGCAGTTCCACGCGATTGCCTCGCTGGTCACGCACACGCCCCGCTCGCAGTTCCACGCGATTGCCTCGCTGGTCACGCACACGCCCCGCTCACAGTTCCACGCGATTGCCTCGCTGGTCACGCACACGCCCCGCTCACAGTTCCACGCGATTGCCTCGCTGGTCACGCACACGCCCCGCTCACAGTTCCACGCGATTGCCTCGCTGGTCACGCACACGCCCCGCTCACAGTTCCACGCGATTGCCTCGCTGGTCACGCACACGCCCCGCTCACAGTTCCAGGCGATTGCCTCGCTGATCACGTGCACACCCCGCTGACAACTTCCTGTTCACTATCGATATGAAGAGAGACCGACGTTCCGGCCGTTGTTTCTCGTATATTTATGGTGTGGACGTTGCCACTTCTCAAGGCATTACATCTTAGCCGCATGGGCTTACATGGGTTACATGGGTTAGACGCATGGGCTTACGGAGTCCATCACCATACTCGCCATCAAATTATGCGTAACCGGCTCGCTGGTCATCTACACGCGCCGCCCATCGGTTTGTTCATGGTCTGTACAAATATTCCCGATGTTCCAGCCGCTCCGCAGCGTTACGCCCCGTCGCTGGGCCGCGCCGTATGGAAGTCTTGGCACCAGTGACGTCATCGCACTGAACAGAGCGGATGGAAACCCGACTCGTGGCAGAGCCCATGTACGGCATTTCTCTGACGTTAGCGAGTATTTGTCCACCGGCCGGCAGCTTTAG